AAAAAAAAAAAAAAAAAAAGATTCACTGGCAAAATTCTGTTTCTATATTAAGCACTCTTCCCAAAGGACCTCACTACCCATATTATGCCTTTACTTTTCATAGTGTCAACACTTCATTCATAGCTTGTAAAACAATAGTACTGAATTGTCTTCAATTTCAAGTAGCTTCACATATATTTTTTCAATTATTTTGTGAGCTCCTCCTGTACACACATAATATATCTAATCCAAGACTGTCTTCAATAAATACTTAATGATAGTGTGAAAAACTGTTCTATTATATGTATCTTTATTTAATAAACATTTTCATTACACAAATGTAATTTACAGACTCTAATCATTATCTACTATACCTCAACTCCTTCTGAGAAAATAAAAAAAGCAGTGAAGATCAAAAATAGGCCATTGACAAAGCCAGCCAGAACTTCCGCTCTAACATACCTAAAGAAGAGCAAAGTAAACAACTGAATTATTAAGTTATTTCTTAAAAATCAGATAATAAATTTACATATGTTCAGAGATTCTAAACCACATTATATGGTTATAAGTGGCCAGCAAAGTCCCAGTACTTAAAGTATGGTATGTTTTATTGCACATATAATGTAAAAATGAGGAAATGAATTTAATTATTACAAATTATGTTTAACAGCAGAATGCCATGAAATACATAGATTTCTACAAGCCAATCAGAAGACCTGAGAGTAAGTAGGTTTAGAAAGACCTTTCAGAGAAATGTAAATCTCAAGTTGCCACTGGAAGAAAGAACAGGACCAGAAAAATGGGCAAAGAAGGAAGGATCCAAAGATAAAAACTAGAAGAAAAGGGCTTGAAAAACAGGTTTTTATAACTTATTCATTCCTTCTTTTTAAGAACTCCTTATGCTTTCTGCTTTGTACCTTTCAGCTTTCAAATCTTTGGAAAGTGAAGCTTTGATCTGAAGGAAAATAAAATTATTTCTGAATTATCCCAGAGACAACTTGAGATTTACATTTCTATCATTCTTTTGCTAAGATTAATAAATTTAGCAAAAACTTTTCAATTACCTATTTTTAGAATCAATTACAGCTTCACGTAATTCTAATTAAACTATTTTTAAAATACCTCTTTTTCTCCACGGACTTCTGAAGCTTTCTGCTTCCTACCTGTGTGAAGCATTGGGGAAAGATTTTATTTTTCCATAAGGTATATTTGGCTTAGTTAAAGTCATTAGAAACAACTTTAACTTGGCAGTTTTACATGTTTAAACATTATTCCAAGGGTGCTGACAGCAGTTAATCACTCTGGTCCTTAAATAATATAATAGGAGCATCAAAAATACTGCTTTTTCTACATTTCTATGTTAACTTCTAGATAATACAATTTTTTACTATAAAGATATTTTTAAAGTAAAGAAAACAAACTCTTTAAAATGTACTCTATCCAGTTATGTTGGGGCTTGCCCTGTCAAGTACATTCCAACATAGTATATATTTCTACACTCAGAAATAATGCATATTTCTACCTTATTAACACATAAAAATGAATTAAATTAATGTATTATTTGTCAAAGCATATCCTTTTTTTTCCGGAGAAAAAGTTTATTAAATTCAAATAATTCCCAGCCTGCTTTCCATAACCCACACTTAGGGATTCATCTAATATATCAGCAGGGTTACTGCCCAAAAAATAAAAAGTGCTTTCTTTTAAATCATCCTTCTAGTCCCACAGCTAATGCTTGATTGAAAGCCTTTATCTCTGAGTTCCACTAGATTTCAAGATCAAAGGCAGGAAGGTTTTTCAGGCATTTTTTGTCCCTAATGCCTAGCTTAATAGGTGCTCCATAAATTCTGATAAATTGTTGGACTAAAGTGATTTAATTAGGCTTAATATATTTGCTAAACTTGGTTGCAGAACTAAAACAAAAAACTTGTGAAAACTAGACATACTTTGCTTTAAAAATGACTATGTTTACTTGAACAGAGTGAGTCTTGGAATTAAAACATATAATTCACGAATGTGCTATATTGCCTAATTAAGTACGATGGTATCTGGAATCTTTAGCTAGGGCAAAAAAAGATACAACTATATGCACACACGTATATAGGCATGTACATATGCATCTATCTACTTATTGGAGGCATATTACTCTTATGCTGGCTTTGCTAATTCAAAAACAGGAGTGTGACAAGGCACAAAGATGACTTTTATACAAAGAAATACTGAAAAGTCTTTGCTGCCTCTCACATTCCTCCTATTGTTTCTTCTGTTGCAGAGCTAGTCTGCTATTGTGATCATATTGAATTAGGGGTTTTAGGATTCATCCCTAGGCTTAGCCTATTCAGTGTCATTTTGACACATGTCATTTGACATTTGACACTGGCACCCCTATTTTACTACTGCTGCTACATACTACTATAGCAATTATTAACAGTTTCAAATGTTACATCGGCTTTTATTCCCTAATTTTGCTCTTCTCAAAAGAAAAAACAAAAAACAAATAAGGAAAAGATAGGATAAGAAATGAAAAAGTAGCAAGAATATTACTCTCTTATACCAACTAGTTAAAGTTGAATAGTAAAACCCGCTATGGTACTGAAGGTATTCAAAGCCATTCCTAAAAACCATCTAATAGCAGGAGACTATGCATTCTAAATAGAAAAGAACAGATACCCTAAGAATGAAGGAACTGAAGGGAATTATTACAGTTACCTACTGTTTATCCAGAAAGATTGTTGAATGAGATATTCTAATTAGATTTTTGACATACAATATATACGAATTACTAATTTTCCAACATAAAATTATAACTTTACATACAATATTTCCTTAATGATTCAAAATATACTTAAGAAACTTTTGATTATATAGTGCCATGAAAAATGTTCTTTTCTGAGCTTTCAAGCAGTTTGAATCTACAGATATACAGGATCTCTTGCTCTATACTATAAAAATAGTATAATTAGTGTTTGTCTTATTTTTTATAATTTTACAAGTAACCATATCTCTTTGGATATACCCCAAATCAGCAAATTCTGTCACAGAAATTCATATATCTCTCTTTTAGCACTTGTCACAATGTATAGTTATGGTATTTTTACAGAACTCTTTCCCCATTAGACCACATGTTCCTCCAAGGCAGAAGCCATATCTTATTCATCTTTATATCATTAGAAGTAGCAAGTATTCGACTCATAGTGGGCCCTCAATAAATATCTGAAGAGAACAAGAACATGTGCAAGAAAGAGAGAGTGTGTGCTTGCTCAAGAACAGAAGCAGAGCTGGAGAGAAATAGGAATTAATGAGGGAGCACCAGTAAGAGAGAACAAGCGGCATAAGAGACAGTGCACCTGAGAGTGGATGTGAACAGGAGAGGGAGAGAATGAGAAAGTGCACAGGAAAGGGGGCTCCCAGGGAAGAAGAATCAGTGAAAAAAGGATAGACAGACTGGGAAAGGAAGAGAAAAAAGAACTAGAGCTGAGGAGGGTAAGAGAGAGGGAGAGAAAGAATAAGAAAGACCCTGAGAGATACAGTAGTAAAGGGCAGGGGGAGAGAGCATAAGAAAAGAAAGAATAAGAGAAAAGACATAAGGGTGGGGAGAAAGAGAGGAAGAGGAGAGAGGAAGATCATGAGCACAGGCCCAAGTAACTACAGAGAAAGAACAAGAGAGGGAGAAACGGAGTTTAGGAGAGATGAGAGAGAGAAAATGAGTAGGAGGATGGGAACAAGAAAAGGAAAAGAAAATAGGAAAGACGTGAAGAAAGGATAGACTTCGAGAGAACACTCACAAAGGAGAGGCGGGGAGGGGCAAAAAGACAGGAGAGCGAGGGGAGGAGGAAGGAAGAAGTGGGTGAGCAAGAGAGAGAAAGACTCTGTTAGTCCTGAGCGCTGCTTACACATAAATGTAATTACACTGCAAAATATTCTGAGCCCAAAAAGGAAAACACTCAGGCACAGTAAAACAAATAATGGAAACTCTATCACTTCCCTCAATCAGAGATGGCAAAAGCAAACTCTGCCTCTAAGAGTACTAGGCTCAGAAGTGAGACCAGATGTTCCAATACAGTCCTTTCAGCATAAAAACACTCTCCAAATATTTGACTAATTGTCCAAACTCAGCAAGAGTATGAGAAGTATTTTACATAAAAGCAGAGCTAAAGAGGATAAGTAATATAAAACCATATTAGGAAATAATGATTTAAATTAACAGCAAAACATTCCTCCAAAGGAAAAAAGAAGAAAGAAACATGATCATTTTCATGTACTGAAACTTTTTTTTCTTCTTCTTCAAAAAAAAATAGGTTAAGAGTTGAGAAATTCCCCTATTGTAACAACCTCACCTAAAAATTTTTGGTAAAATCAAGATGCCCTACCTCCAACCAAAAGAACTTAGATGTAGTAAAAAAGTATGTATTGTAGATTCCAATTATATACTGTTCAAAAACAGGTAAAACTAATCCATAGAGTTGGGGAAGTGTGTGAGAAGGAACTAGAAGGAGACATGAGGGGGTTTCAAAGGTTCAAGTTACACAAATGTGTTCAATTTGGGAAAATTCATTGAGCTTGAGATTTGTGTATTTTTCTGTATTTCTTATACATCAATAAAAAGGTTTTAAAAAGTCTTACCCATAGGAGAAAGCATCATTATCTCTCCATTTCGAAATAACAGACGCTGCCAATCCAGCCAAAATAGCAGTGCTATCGAAAAACATGTGAAAAGAGTCGGAAATCAAGCCTAAGCTGGAAAAGAACAAAAGACATTGGCATATTATAATAACCAAATAGTAGTCATCCTTCTCTAAAAATCTAAGATTCAGCCTCAGCTCATTAGGAACTAATCTTCTAAAAAGACAACATTGAAATATGATATATAGAAAGATATTAAGGATAATTTTTAAACATCTAAGAAAGAAACTCTCATACCCCTTGTCCAAGGAAAAGCCCAGCTGCTACTAAAAGAGGGGTAGAAACAAAGCCATCTGCTGCTGGACGAGGGGCAGCAATCTGCCCACCCTCTGGTCACTGGCAAAGGTCAGCTGCCGCCAAAAGTAAGAGAGAAAAAACAGCCATGTGCTACTAGGGCAAGGGTGAAACCAGCTTGGGCCCAGGATCTTACACTGATACAAAGCAAGGGTCAGCTGTTGTTGGAAGAGGAGCAGGATACTTGCTCGTTCTCCTGGCAGAAGGCTGCAGGGAGGGGTGGGAGAAGGGGCAAGAACATTAATAACGCCCACTCTGACACTCAGGTGTAAAGAGCCTGTCTGCTACTGAGACTGCAACAGGAGAACCAAATACCCCACTCCCCCAACCAGAGCCTTGACTAAAGCATAAGACAATAGCAATCTACAGCTGAGAGCAGAGCAAAAGCAGAGAGAGAGATTCCCTTGTGGTACAGATGTGCAGGGCTTGCTGGAACCTGAGAGTGGAGCAAGAACACTGAAAAAAGCCTCCAGTACTCCAAATAACACACTAAGCACAAGGTGGCTGAAGCCACTGGAAAAATTTGAAGTCTATGGCTTGTTGAAATTAACTAGCAATAATAAAACACAAAACTCAGCTCAATTACTGACCAGATAGGTTCAAAACCCACACACACTGGGGCCGGCCCGGTGGCGCACTGACGCCTCGCTTGGCAAGCCATGCTGTGGCGGCGTCCCATATAAAGTGGAGAAAGATGGGCACGGATGTTAGCACAGGGCCAGTCTTCCTCAGCAAAAAAAGACGAGGATTGGCAGATGTTAGCACAGGGCTGATCTTCCTCACAAAAAAAAAAAAAAAAAAAACCCACACACTAATGGCCTGACAGAAAAATAGATATGCACATTTCTGGGCATAAACACTATTAATTTAAACATAAATACTATTATTCTTTTATATATAATATCCAACACTCAATAAATATTTATAAGACACATAACAGGATCAAAAAAAAAAAACCAAGACGACCCATTGTCGAGTTAAAGCAGTCAACAAAATCAGAACCAGAAAAGGCCCAGAGATTGGACTATTATAGGAACTTTAAAACAAATATAATTAATATGTTAAAAGATGTGGTATAAAGCTGGAGAAAACTCATGATCAAATGGGGACTTTCCACAGAGATAGGAACTATAAAAGAATCAAATGGAAATGATACAAACTTTTTAAAAAGTCACAATATTGAAGACAAAGAATAACATACATGGGCTTCTGAACAGACAGGGAACAGACAGAAAGAATCAGTTAAGTCAAAAGAAATTATCCAAAGTAAAACATGAAGAAAAGGAGTAGAAAAAACCAGAACAGAGCATCCAAAACCTGTCAGAGTACCAAACAGACTAAAATGCAAGTATTTGGATTCTCAGTAATGCAGAAGACAGAAAGAATAGGGTAGAAAAAGTATTTAAAGAGAAAACATTTGAAAGTTTTCCAAAATTAATGAAAGAAAACAATCACATATCCAAAAAGCTTAATGAACCCCATGCAGGGGAAAAAACCTTAAACACGTCACAAATTGCTGAACATTAAAGAGAAAGAGAAAGTCTTGAACACAGCCAGGAAAAAAAAAATTGGATAAGGAAGAACAAAGATAAGATTAAGAGCATACTTTTCATCAGAAACTACTCAAGGCAGAATGCAATGGAGCAATGTCTCTAAAGTATTGAAAGAAAAAAAAATACTGTCAACCTAAAATTCTTTATCTAGCAAAATATCTTTCAAAAATGAAGACAAAATAGACTTTTTCAGACAACCAAAGCTGAAAGAATTTACTGCTTGCAGATCTCTTAAAAGACTAAGTTCTTCAAGTAGGACCATGGTACCAGATGGAAACTTAGAATTGTATAAAGAAATGAAGATCACTGAAAATGATAAATATGGGGTAAATATAAAAAATAATTTCTTACTTTTAATATCTTTAAAAGATCACTGAGAATATCTTTAAAAGATCACTGAGAATAGAAAAACAAGAGGAAAAATCAACAAACCAAAAGTTGGTTCTTGGAAATTATCAAACAAAATTCACAACCTTTAACTAGACTGATCAAGGAAAAAGAGAAAAGACTCAAATTACTTTAATCAAGAATGAAAGGGAGACATTACCACTGACTTCACAGAAATAAGGATTATAAGGAAATACTATGAATAATTACAGGCCAACAAATTAGATAGATGAAATAGACAAATTCCTAGAAACAAACAATCTAGCCAAACTGACTCAAAAGAAATCTGAATAATTTATAACAAGCAAAGAGACTGACTTAATAATTTTAAAACTTGCAACAAAGAAAAGCTGAGGCCCATATGGCTTCACTGGTAAATCCTACCAAACATTTAAAGAACCATAAATATGAATCCCTTACAAACTCTTCCAAAAAACAGAAGATGAAGGAATATTCCCAAATTGTTGCATAAGACCAGTATTATCCTGATACGAAAATCAGACAAAAGACATTGCAAGAAAAAAAACTACAAACCAATATCTTTTGCAAACATACTTGCAAAAATCTTCAAGAAAATACTAGCAAATCAAATCCAGCAATATATAAAAAAAGAGTATACACCATGACCAGGTGGGATTTATCCCAACAGTGCAAGGTTGGTTTAATATACGAAAATCAATCAATATAACACATCATATCAACGGAATAAAGGACAAAAACCACATGATCATCTCAATATATTCAGAAAAGCATCTGACAAAATCCAACACCCCCTTTATGATAAAAACACTCAACAAACTTGAAATAGAGGGAACTTCCTCAACTAATAAATGGCATCTACAAAAACCCCACAGGTAACATCAGCATCATTAACAGCCAAAGACTAAATGCTTTCCCCTAAGATCAGATACAAGATAAGGATGTTCCCTCTCACCACTTCTAATTAACATTGTACTGGAGGGTCTAACGAAGGCAATTAGGCAGGAAACGGAATAAAAGGCATCTAGATTGCAAGGGAAGGAGTAAAACTTATTTGCAGATGATATGATCCTGTACACACAAAATCTTAAGGACTCTACTAAAAAACTATCAGAACTAATAAATGAGTTTGGCAAGGTTGCAGGATACAAGATCAACATAAAAAATGAATTGTATTCCTGTACAATAACGATGAACAAAAATGAAATTTAAAAAAATTCCACTGACAATAGCATCAAAAAGAATAAAATACTTAGGAATAAATTTATATAAAAAGTGCAAAACTCATACTGTGAAATCTACAAAATATTGTTGAAAAAAATTAAAGATGACCTAAATAAATGGAAAGATATCTATGTTTATGGATCAGAACACAATACTATTAAGATGGCAATACTTTCCCTATTGATCCACAGATTCAACTCACTTCCTATTCAAATCCCAGCTGACTTCTTTGGAAAAATTGACAAGCTGCTCTTAAAATTCATATGGAAAAATAAATAAATAAAATTATAAAAAAAGGGCCGGCCCCGTGGCTTAGCGGTTAATTGCTCGCACTCCGCTGCTGGCGGCCCGGGTTTGATCCCGGGCGCGCACCAACACACCGCTTCTCCGGCCATGCTGAGGCCGTGTCCCACATACAGCAACTAGAAGGATGTGCAGCTATGACATACAACTATCTACTGGGACTTTGGGGAAAAAAAAATAAATAAATAAAATTATTAAAAAAAAAAGAATTATATGTAAAGCACCTGGCATAGAGTAAGTCCACTAAATGTTTGTTATGTTGTTGTTGTTAAAAAAAAAAAAAAAATTCATATGGAAAAGCAAGGTACTTAGAATAGCCAAAAGAGTATTGAAAAAGAAAACAAGTTGGAGGACTCACACTCCCCAATTTAAAAACTTATTACAGAGCTGAAGTAATCAAAACAGTGTGGTACTAGCATAAGGATAAACATATAGATAAATGGAATAGAATTTAGAGTCCAGAAATAAACCCTCACATTTATGATCAATTGACTTTTGACAAGGATGTCAAGACAGTTCAATAGTTGAAAGAACAGTGTTTTCACAAATGGTGTTGATACAACTGGATATCCATCCACATGCAAAAAATTGATTTTTGACACTTACTTGACACCATACACAAAAATTAACCCCAAATGGATCAAAGACCTAAACATAAAAGCTAAAATATTCACATTCTTGGATTAGGCAACAGTTTCTCATATACGACACCAAAAGCACAAGCAGCAAAAGAAAAAACAGATAACATATACTGGACATTATTGAAATTTTGAAACTTCTGTGCTTCAAAGGACATTATCAAGAAAGTAAAAAGACAATGCACAAGTGGGAGAAAATATTTGCCAATCATATATCTGATATGGGACTTGTATCCAGAATACATGAAGAACTCAAAACTCTTCAAAAAGATAAATAACTCAATTTTTTAAATAAACAAAAAGATCTGAATAGATATTTCTCCATAGAAGACATACAAATGGCCAATAAGCAGATGAAAAGATACTCAACATCATTAACTACATTGCAGGGAAACGGAAATCAAAACCACAATGAGAAACAACTTCACACCCACTATGATGGCTATAATCAAAAAGACCAATAACAACGAGTGTTGGTGAGGATGTGGAGAAATTGGAACTCTCATACACTGCTGGAATACTATTTGGCAATAAAAATAAATGAAATACTGACATATGTAGAACATGGCTCACTGCTGAAAACATTATGCTAAGTGAAATAAACCAGTCACAAAGGATCATATACTATATAATCCCATTTATACAAAATGTCCAAAATAGACAAACACATAGAGAA